GAAAATTGTTTGGGGACTATCCCCCACGTTCTAGTTGAGATGGTATAACCCAAGAGGCAAAATGACGCTTGCTACTGTTGTTGCGAGTTGCCATTCGTTCTACTAAACCATTAGTCAAACGCCATCATGCCTTCTGTCGTTATTACACCACCAAAAATCTCTTTACTGTTACTAGTGTTCGTGCCTCAATATGGCTACGCTCGTGAAAGCAATACAACGAACTCAAACGCGTCTTCGTTCAATGTTGTCAACTAATATCCGGATTATGCAAATTTTCCTCAATTCTCCGGAGAAATTTTCATAAAAATTTGAAAAACCCGGAATTCCGGGAAAATCTCTGTGTATTGTATTCCCTTCAGCGTCGCTCCATCTAGTTTATCCATAATGTAATCGCAGCCACTATTGTAGCTTCTATTCCATGCGCCTTATAATGCAGTGCGCCCTATATATGAAAACTGTTTTAAAATGGGCCATTCGTTGAAGGTGCGCCTTCTACCCCAAAGGGCCTTACGGTGCGGAAAATACGGTACTGGTCTGCACATACACTCAGCAAATAAATGTATGGGTCCTTTCGGTTAGGCTGCCACTAAAATAAAGGCAAATGAACATGAATTAAGATAAAAGAGTCAATTTCTCTACTTCAATTAGTTTGATAACTTGCAAAAAATTTCTCTTGCAGTCTTTGAACCGTTAACTACCACAACTTTGTAATATTCTGGCAAACAAGTGCGACATTGACATAGGTCATAATTTAAATAATGCAAACGAATCTGCCACTTGATCACTTCAACTTTTCATGTTTCATGAAACAATGATACATGTGGACTGCACTTCTTCAGCACTGCACCTATCTTAACAGTGTCTAAGTAAATACATCACCAAAATATAACTATTTATAAAAATTAAAGGCTACTGAATAGCAGCCTTTGCAGTTTAAAAATGCAATTGTTAATTCCGAATCCACCGTGAATTCAGGTCAGAGAAGACAACGGAAAAAAAATCAAAGAAACATGTCTCGAATCATCATACCTGATAATCTTAATGAGTTCACTCATGTTGACGTGATCGGGCACTAAGAACTTTGTCTTGTCCAGGATGGGGAGCTGCTTTTCTCCTTTGTACCTCTCGATGATCACCTATGGGGCACACACACACAGTGCTCGATGCAGTTTCATTCACTGACTATCACATGAAATAAATGCTGCCATCTGTTAAGATCTGAACAAGATCCCCGCTCATTGGCAATCTTGTGATTAATCCTCAGTAAATGGCGGTCTCAACATATGAGACTTCTCCATGGAAAAAAGTCCGATCACGGCTGCAATGACAACACGCGTAGCCCAAAACCTAACCCTATATGGTGTTGTGGAAGAGGCAGGTTTCGGAAATCTCATGAAGATTTTTCACCCAAAGTATGATTTGCCAGGTTGCAGAAAAAGTGCTGCCTGATTTGCACATTTTAGTCGGGCAAAAGGGTGGCCCACCAGCTAACAAATGTAACCCACTTCTCCACGACGACACATCTGTGGTCACGGCCTGGACTTCTGCATATTGCTTGCATTTACTTTACCACTGTAAAACCAGAAATAAAGCAGAGAAAGTGCACTTACGTTTTTGAAGAAAAAGGTTTGCAATTGCATTTTACACGCATCTTAAAAATCCATCAGGATGGCCCGCTTGCACGATTTCACTGCTGCTGTTTTATGCATCAATGCATAGAATTTGACATTTATATCATGATTTACAGGAGAAAACAGAATATGATATCGTATATTCTAAAAATATTCAGACATTAGTTGTAGGCCATACTGTTCATAAACATTTTCTCAATTGAAATGAATTGCAATGCCATTAATCTGTTCCAGCCCCTAAAAAACAAACATTTTTTTCCCCCACTTTCCTCGACGGGCAGCAAATTTTACTCATACATCAAATATTGTCTTGCAACACAATGCAAACAAAATGACCAAACAGCTTGTAACTTGAAAATTTGTAAATTGTGGCCCTTGAAAAAAATCCAAGCACTCTACGATTGTACTATAATAGTTCGAGCAAGTAGGCAAGTGAAGGGTCATTTTGAAGAAGCAGTTGTGTGGCGTTCTATCCAAGCACGCTCACCATACCACAAACAGCCTCTATTGAGTTGTATGTCAGCATCTTTAATAAAACCAGAAACCATCTAAAAAAAAAACTTTGTTTTCAAGTATACTAAGTCCAACATGTGCATACAATATGTAGCGACTACAATAAATCAACATTCTCTAACACAATAGAAATTCTGTGTGTATATAGGAGAAGTTGGGTTTATGAGGTTCCTGATGCACGGGATTTCAAGGGCCAATGTGTCTCAGTGAGGAAATTCAAAACGTTGCCATGCGAATAAGATACGGGCCCCGCAGACACGTAACACCCCCGACTAACCCTTGCCGCTCACTGAACCCCTGATGAATTACCACGGGCCTGCCGCGGCTCCAGTGGCGAGAAGAGGCTGCGCACCGTGCACACACATTTCATTTCCTATTGGTCCTTCTTCTTGGCATCAAAATTTAACAGACATTTTAGAATCTGAGCGATTCTGAGTGAGATGTTAGTCCTGGTTCCACTCAATTTTCAATGCCCAACCCTACTCATTTGTCATGTCAAAGCCAAAGTGTACAATCAGCTGCAAAGAGTTTTGTTCAAATAAAACTCTTAATCACCCCAACTGCTCACTCATGCTGTTCATGTGACTTAATTTCTGATATGAATTTGAACATACTGGTTCGCTCAAAGCACACAAGTGAAGAAGCCCTCAGGGAGAAACACTCACAGGTATCTTGTTAGGATGCTGCTCCCTTATCAGTCGGACATCTTCTACTCGCTGATCTGCAGGGGACACAAAAGCACGCACAGTGTCAGTAGGCAGGAATGAGCAGACACATTACACACTGCTTAAAACCAAAATGAGGTCAAAAAAATAATTGTAGAGACTTGAGACAATTAATCGAGGTCCCGTGTGTGCCAGGCCAAAATGCTTATACCTGAACATCACCTTTCGCAAAACGGATTTAAGCATGCGATGTAAATTATAGCTATGTTTCCCCTGCCAAAAAAATCCATTTGTTGCCGAACCCAACCCTTAATTTACGACTATTTTACTATGTTACCGTATTTTCCACACTATAAGGCACCTAAAAGCATTAAATTTTCAAAAGCCGACAGTGCCCCTTATAATCCGGTGCGCCTTATATAGCGATCAATATTCTAATTTCTTGGATGTAGTATTTTAAACTTTCTGTAAAGCACTTTGTTACAGCTGCAGCATTTGTGAAGGCCTCATATAAATAAAGCTGTATTGTATTGTATTCCCTTTAGCGTAGTTCCATCTAGTTCAGGGGTGTCCAAAGTCGGTCCTCAAGGGCCGCTGTCCTGCCTGTTTTCCAGCTCTCCCAGGAGCAACACACCTGATTTAAATAATCAAATCGTTCTAATGCTGCTTCTGAGCTGGCTGATGAGCTGATCATCTGAATCAGGTGCGTTGCAGCCGGGAGAGCTGGAAAACAGTCCACCATGATCGAGTCCAAGTCAGGTTTGAATCACAAAGGTCTGAGTCCAAGTCTAGTCCGAGTCCACAAGGTCCCAGTCAAAGTCCAAACCCAAGTCCAGTTGAGATCAAGAGTAAAGCTTTAAGACAGGAAAATAATATTTTGAAGACCACAAAATTAGAGAAATTTCATTATGCTCAACAGTCTTCTTAGATGGCATGGAACCCTTTGCTTTTTTAAACGCGTGTGCAGATAAACAACAAAAACAATTTCAAAAAACAACATTGCTTTATTATTGGTGGTCGAGCTCGGGGTGAGAGACGAGGAGGGAATTGGGCACTGGGAAGTTGTAAAAAGAATGCTTACAAGAAAATTGGACAATTCATTAGTCGTCCCCGGTGAGGCCACCATTGGTTAACTTCAGGTGGCCGGACACAGTCACCTGGCCATCGGGCCACCGTGAATGTTGAACCCTATATAATATTAATCAAGGTATAGCACGGGTATCGAGCAAAAAATAAGCCCAAGAGGACATTGCATTAAATGAATTGCTTTCAAAATCAAAATCTACTATGAGCATAATGGTTTTATCCATAATCAAGCTGTGCCACAGCATGATTATATATGAAGGCAGAAATTAATACTCATTTTCCAAAGAATTTAACTTGTATAGCTCATGCGTGGCATTATGTGTCCTTCCAGGAAAACAAAATCACTCCAAAAACATCTTTACACAATCTTAATTGATTTAATCTTAGCAGTGCCGAAATTCAACACAGCTGAACACAGAACATTGTTAATGCTCCTACCCCGCAGTTTTGTGAACTTTGAACCTCCAACAATACAATACAATAACTATAGCTAACTACAAAAATATACCGGTAATACAATATTCCAAAAACGAATCCTATCTATGCCTTGTTGCTTGAAGCAGCGGCAATGCCATTTTTTTTGGTGGGCCGAATGACAACAAACATACTGATCACCCCAGAATCCTCAGCAGTGTATAACATAGTTCTAGTTCGAGAGGTGTGTATTTATTGGCACATTCAGAGTCTAGACTTCTGGTGATTTGAAGGCATCCACAGTTGTGACAGTGAAATTGTCGTGTTCAAATCTAATTTTCACACTGAAACGGTGTTTATCTTACTGCGAAATGTGGGACAACATCCTGTGATAACAGCTTAATTAGGTTAAGTTCAGTGCGCAGGAATAGGGAAGCTCTGTGGGATGGTGTTTTGTCTCTCGTGACACATCTGAGTCATCACTTTTCAGTGGCCATTAAGAGACCGACAAGAAGGAAGCATTGGATCGGAGAGCTGGCACGTGCTTGTCTGAAGAAAGGTGGGGTGGGGTTGCATGACATTTCTTGTCTTCATGATAATGGAAATTGTGATACTTCTCACTCCACCCTTTAAAGCAAGGAACCACATTTGGTAACACAGTTTAGTAGAAATTGACACATCTGAGGTGTTTTGTCCCGACCAAAAGGGGCCGTTTTTGTCATCCGCTGTCTGTGGCCTATGGGCTTTGTACAAACCGAATTCCACCGAAGTTGGTTGTTGTGTCAAACGTAAATAAAAACAGCAGGGATGTCCCAATCATGCTTTTTTTGACACCCGAGTCAGAGTCTTTAGGTTTACGTATCTGCCGATATCAAGTCCAAGACCAATATCCAATACTTCGGCAATCCATTAAGGGGAAAAAAAGGGTGCGCATGAGTTTTTCTTCTCAAATTAATATAGAAATATACATACATCATTGTGTGTATGTTATATCTATGTACAGGGGTAACCCTACTTACGAAATTAAAACATTTTGGAAGTTAGAGATGCTTTATTCATGTAAATGCCCTAATCTGTTCCAGGCCCCCCAAAATTCAGCCATAAATGTTTTATACAGCATACAAATAAAGGAAAATATGTAACAAATACATGTTACAATTAAGATTATTGCACAATAAATGAGAGTTGTGCGTAATGTAAAAAAACAAAGAACAGAGTAAAGAATAAAAATGATGGTCATTTAACTTTTAACTTTGTCTTCATGGGGTTTTTTTTGCCCTCTTTAGTTCATGTTCTCTCTCAGAAGTGTTTTTTGCCTGGCGTTTTGTAAAGAACTGATGCAAGGAGCTTTTGTTGGCTTTTAACAATCCTTCGAAAATGTCCAAGGCAAACATCAGCATAGTGAGTGATCGTCCGATTGGTGAACACTTTTTCTGGGTGATGCACATTTACGTAAAACTACTCAGGGCCCGTGGAACAAATGAGGAGGACGCTGCATAGACACTTCTTCCTACTCCCTTGAACATAATAACTGTGTTGAATGATGACTAATTTCTCTTTCCTCTTTACTATTTTATTTACCTTATTTTCTGTCAAATTATTACTGTATATGTTTTATGTTCAATAAACAAACAAACAAACAAACAAAC